AAAAAAAAATGTGCAAAATGATGTAAAAATAAACTTTTTAATAAAATAAAATAAAGAAAAAAAAAGAAAAATCATAAAACATAATTCAATTAAACATCAAAGAAGTATGGGATGTGGGTTGCCAACTAAACAGGCCCAGCACACCAAGCACAGTATGAAATTTCAGAAAACTACAAGCAGAACGGAGATTCAACAAGCTGTTAGGGAAGAGAAAATCAAAGAGAATCAAAGACACAGGCTATATACAAATATACAAATAACAAGACACCAGAACACTTCCAACTTCTCAAAAGCATCAACGAAAACCAGAAAACAATGGAACAATACCTTCAAAATTCTGAAGGAAAATGACTTCTAACTTAGCATGTAAGGCTCAGTTAGACTATTGATCAAGTGTGAGAATAGAACAAAGATATTTTCTGGCATACAAGATCACAGGCATTCATAATCCACACACCTTTTCTTTCTTTTTCTTTTTCTTTTAAGATTTATTTATTTATGCATGCAACAACTGAGGTACAGGACAGAGGTACAGGAGAGGTGGGAGGATTCACCAGAGACAGAGTGGGGAGCAGAACAGGCACATCAACGAAGTACACTGCTGAGGGGAACAGCGGTGAGAGAGGAGAGGTCTGCTGCACCATGTGGGTCAGCTCCTTGGCCTGGAATCGAGCTTGTGCTGAGGTAGCTGGCTGTAGCTGGCTTCGTGGTATTGTGCTTTAACCCGTTGTGCCACGAGGGAGGGCCCTGACCAAGAATTTTTTAAAAAAATAATATAATAGTTTATTTATTTATTACATCATTTTCTGCATTGTTCCATCTCAGTTGTAATCCCCTTGGGCTTCCCATCACTAAATCACCCTGTGCAATCACTATAGTCCAGTGCATTTTCCTCCCCCCACTGTTTTTGATCCCATTCCCCACTTCATCCCCATAAAATGTCTCTGGTATATAGCTGTTCATTATTATTATTATTTTCTCACCTTGTCTGTTATACTCCTGCTATGAGTAAAACCATCTGGTATTTTTCCTTTTCTTTCTGGCTTATTTCACTAAGCATGATCTTTCCCAGCTCCAAACATGTTGCAGCAAAAGGCATGTGTGGTTTTTTTTGGTTGTTGAGTAATATTCCATTGTCCACACACCATTTCTTAATAAGCCCCCGAAGGAGCCTCCCTGGTAGCCTAATGGTTAAATCTCAGCTACCACCAAAGGCTCACTACACCGTACTGAGTTCAATCCCCAATGGGGGAGTTAACCCAGGAGATGCAGCAGATCTCTCCTGTGCTGCCCGCTCTATCCCCTAGCAGTGTATTCCAGGAAATCAACCTGTTCTGTTCCCCACTCTATCTCTAGTGAATCCCCTAACACCTTGCACCTCTGGCCTACACCCCAGTTCCTCTATGCACAAAAATACATATTAAAAAAAAAAAAAAGAAACTCCTGGACGATGTCCTCAACAAGCAATATACAAGAAAGAGAAGAAAAACTGGAGAGAGGACAAAAAAATTACTGTTCTGTGAAGAATCCAACCAGGCCAAAAAAGCATAACTCAAGGAATAGATATGTTGAAGATCTTTACTGCCAACTACCCACTGCTATTAAATCTGGTATTTTTGTTCTAAATATTTTAATTGTATAATAAAGTTTTCAAAAACAATACTCAAAAGACCTCTAATACCCATCATCCACATTCAATACTTATGAACATTTGGCCTGTTAGCACAATCTAACCCCCTTTCTGTATTTTTCTCTCTTCAAATGTTTTAAAGCAAATTGCACATTGTATCATTTCACCCCATGTACTTCAGAATCCATAACTATATTATGCATTTTCTAATATCACAAAATCACTATCACAGCAGAAAAATTAACAATAATCTCTTGATAACATCTAATACCCATCCCACCAATAATACTTCTGTAACTTGCAAAAACACCTCTTTACAATGAGACTGCAAAGGGCTGAGTGGTAGCCTCCCCAAAACTTATCTGGTAAAGCCCTCACCCCCACTTCCTCAGATGTTGATGTATCTGGAGACAGGGCCTTAAAAAATGGAAGTTGAAATGGACCCTTTATGGCAGGCCACAATCCAACCTCTTATAATAAGAGCCTAGGACACACTGAGACATACCAATACGGTATATTCACATCGGTGTGGCCATTGAAGGAGCAGAAGAAGGTTGCCAGCTATAAGCCACAGAGAGACACCACAGAGGAAGCCAGTCTTGGCCTTGGGCTTGAAATACCCAGAAAGGAGAAAGTAAATTTCTGCGGTTTAAGTCATCCAGTCTGCGTGATTTCATTTTTGGCAGTCCCAGCAAAGTAAAACCTAGACTATCCGTATCAAAACAAGGTTCATACATCATTGTTTGGCTATAATTCTTAAGCCACGTTTGTCATGCCATTGACTTGTTGCAGAAGCCAAATCAGTTGTCCTATACTATGAATGTATGTTTATATCCAGAGAGTTCAATTTGTTTGTTACCCCTTCCCTCAACTTTCCAGTAACTCAGTTCTAGTGCTCGATCAGAAGGGTCAGCTTCTAGATGAGAACGTTTCATAGGTGATAGTGCTTACTCTTTTTAGCATTACAAAGAATGATAGCTAACACAGTCCATATTACTTTCTGGCTGTTGGCCTTGAACACACACTGATGATGTTGCTACTCATCTCCTGCATGCTGTCTGTCCAGTTAACCAAAGGACTCACTTCATCCACAAAACAGTTTTGCTTTGACCTTCTCACTGAGAACTGGAGGTGAGGTATAGAGAGACTAGAAGAAGAAAAGACAGAGCCGTCCACTCTTTGTGACTGCCCCTTACTGGCTCCTACCACAGCTCCATTAGATGCCTCATTGGTGGCAAGCCCTCACTTCCAAGAATTCCTTCACAGCCTTGCCCACTGACTTACTCTTTTGCAAGCTTCAGGGAAGCTACTGCCAGACTATGACCCTTAGTTATCTTTATAAGCATATAAGTTATCTTTATAAGCTTAGCTAATAGTGTTAATATTATCCTTTTCTTACTAACTTGCTGGGTTTATGATTGCTTCTTTAATAATATATAGTTTATTAATACAAAATTAGGGTTAAACAAGCAGAGAAGTAAGGGAGTAATGAACAGATAGACTACTATTCAGCTAGAAAAAAGATGAAATCCATATCATATATGAAATCCATGTCACGTGAATGGGCCTTAGGAAAACAAGTCAGACAGAGAGCAACACCATAAGATTTTACTTGTGTTTGGTACATGAAGGGAAAATGAAAGAACTAAGCTAACGAAAATAAACTTAGAATATAAAATCAAATTACCAGTTACCAGAAGGGAAGGGGAAGAAGGAGTGGGTTAGTAGTGATCCAAAACTGGGTCAAAAGACCCAAAAGAAGTGGGCCAAAAAGGGTCAATTGTAAGATGAAGGATGAAATTAGACTTTTAGTATATACAGACATTAATTTATAATGATATATAGATCTGAATATTATATAATGTTATAAAGTAATGCTAATAAAAAATTTATTTTAAGTCAGGATATTTCCTTACCTCTTGTGAGAAGGGTAGGAGACATGATTGGAACAGAGGGTCACGAACAGCCTCTAAAGTACCAATAATGTTCAGTTTGGTAAATTGGATTGTGAATATACAATTTTCAATATCTTATTCTTTAAGCTATAAATGTATATTTAAAACACTTGGTATGTATGATATGTTTCATATTAATTATTTTTGGTGACTGTCCATAATAATTAGAACACAGGGTTTGAGGAGTATGGTTAAAAAAAAGGAAAGGCTGGAAATGGGGTTTATTCTGGAAGCAAAGGGGAATCACAAACGTTCTCTTGGCAATATCAAAGGGGAAATTTATACCCAAGATCAGTTAAAATGGTTTTCTCATAACCTATCTATCAAGAATAATAAGAAAATCTTTTTTTTCCCTTAAGTTATTTAGAGATGAAACACAAGGCTTTGTAAGCATCTCACTGGGAAACACTGTAATGTGGTTTTGATGTATTTTTCCAGTGAAAGGAGATTCAGTTTGCCCTAGGGAATATATTTGCCTCAAATTCTTAAATGACACAAAGCTGGGAGGGATGCAGAACAAATGTTTTAGATGACAGAATTGGAATATATCTTGGTGAGCTGTAGTGACAGGTCAAATCTAGCCCAATTTATAACAACATCTACCATTTACTGAGAACATATGATATGCCAAGAATTTAACATACTTTATCACTTTTAATGTTCACAACCCACACACACCCCCTGCCCCCCCCCCCAAACCTGAGAACCAGAAAAGTTCACTTGCCCAAGGTCACACACCAAGTCAGGGACAGAATAATGATTTGAACCTCAGTTTTCAGATTTAAGTTTAAATTTAAATATGATTTCTTCAGCTACACCAAATTAACATTTGTAAAAGAACTCAGTTCTTCAGTTCTGCCTGCGACCCTCAGAGATCTGTCATTATCCCCAAACCCCTTGGCATATGAGTATCTCAGCACCTCAGAAAAATGATTAGGAGAGGCTGATTTCCCTCATTAATATAGCATTTAGAGTCCCTTTGACAGCTGCCAGGAAACCTCTATGTCCTTAAGAGCAAGCCTGTAATGAAAAGTGAGCTCTAAAAGAATTCTCTCTGCTCCACATCCCCAGCTCAGCTATGTCTGCCTTCCCATCTGTATTTAAGGCTCACAAAATTCAAGTTCTGTAGTTATAGATGGGGATTCCTTATCATCAAGATTGTCAAGCAAGACCCTTTTTAGCCAGCCTTTTTCTACCTTCAATTTTCTCTCCTCCTCAAAGTCATTTGATTCGATGGGTGTGTGTAGCTGAGAGAACAGCACAATCAGCTCCAGCGCAGTCATAACTGATGGAGCAATTCGAAAGGCAGCCAGAGAATTTTAATGAAAACCAGAAAACTCATGATGGCTAAGTCTAGCTGCGGTCCAGGCCAGCCAGCCCCTCCCACTGCAGCCAAGAATCCCTGAGCCAGCTTCACCCCAAAGAGCAGGGAGGAAAATCCATTTTGCATTCAGCAACCTCTTCTAGAGCAGCCCCTTTCCAGGGTGATTTTGTTGAGAAGCAAGCACACGCTAATTGCAATAGGACCCGGGGACCATGAGAAGCACAGGGTGTGGCAGCAGCAGATCGGAGCCAACAGATTATGAAACCGTCATTAAAAAGAAAGAAAAAAAAAAAAGAAAAGAAAAGCCTCTTTCCTTCTGCCAAGGCTGTCTGTGCACAGCTGCATACAAGGCTAGTGAGGAATCTTAACAAGCTTAAAGAGACTGTATTTCAGATCCTGGAGAACCAAAGGTGGAGGAAATGAATATCTGGAGCACTTACTACACCTTAGGTGCTCTGAGAGCGCTCGACCCTTGCTATCAGGTGGGAATTGTAACCTGCATGTAACAGATAAGAACACTGAATCAGAGAGGTTAGAGAACTTATCCCAGGCACACAGGCAACAAGTGAGGAACCAAGTCACAAGTACAACATTGGTGAGACTCATCAGAAGTAAACTCAAAATCCTATGCTGTCTAAGAAAAGGAAACACCATTTACCCATGATGAGTTATGAGCAGGTAAAGATTTTTACCTGCTTGACCACCTAACCTTCGCAGCAGAGAAGAGAGAGGTCATTATCAGTCCCATTTTTGATGAGGAAACTGAGGCTAGATGTTAAGTAACATGGCTAAGGTTGTGATATTGCCAGAATTTGAATGTGAGTCTATCAAATTCTAGAGCACCCAAGGAAAAAATACTCCACCTTAACAATCTATGGAAGAGAAACATCTGTCCTCTTCTCAGCAGGTAATCTGTGATCCAGAGGTATTTTTCAATTCCTCTGAGCACTCCTCAGTTAGAGCACTGAATCACTAGCTCTGGGAGGCTCCCTATGGACTGTCGGCTCTGTTAACACCGTGTGTGCAAAGAAGGCAAGCATCATGATCCTGAGCTGCGCATGATTATAGAAGCAACAGCACCTTCTGTAGATGCTGTTGCACAGATCCATACACCTCACAGTACACGCCCCACCCCTTTCCAACAGTGCACAGGCCTATTCTGTATTCTTCACAAGAGACCACATTCCTCCTCTTAAAGCAACTGTGATTTCCCAAGGGAAATGAGTGTCTAGACAGAGCAACCCAATTCATCTTTACAGAGAGGAACACGCAATGTCAGGTTTGATCATTTCATTGGGGGGTTCTGTGTTTAACACCCCAGTGAAAGCCCTGAGTTTGGCATTTCTGAGTTGTCATACTAATCATCACTCAGAACAACAAGTGATCTGTGGAGCTGTAAGTATCTTTCCAGACTGGCAAGTGCCACCAAAGGGAAATCTGAGCCTCTTCACAACCAGCTTATGGGTCACGCACACATAGGCACAGCACACAAACAAATCCACTGATCAGGCTGAAACTTGACAGGACTCTTCTCACGTGTTCAGAATTAAGCACTGGGCTCTGAGGTGAGCAGCGCACCTAATACCTGCCAGGTACTGTGGCGTATACATTCACAGATGATATCTTAATTACCTTGCACACCAATCTGTGAGGTAGACAGGAATCCAAAGGGGTAACATAACTTGCCCAAAGTCACACAAGAAATAGCAACGTTCAGATTCCAATCCATTGGAACATACCTCCAGCGCTTTCACATTCAGTTTATCGTGAGCCCATTCACTTATCCTCAGATATTTATTGAACACCTTCTGTAGACAGATACTCCAGCAGCGGATACAACTGCAAATGTGATAGCGTAGGGCCAGTGTCCAAAGAACTTACTTTCTGATGAGGAGAAGACAACCCAATCTGGAAGCTATATCTCATGATGAGATTAGGGTTTTTAATGAGTTATCAGGGCAGGCTTCTCTCCGGAGTGGCATTTGAACTGAATTTGAAAGATGAGACTGAGCCAGGAATTCTGCAAAGCTGGGGAAGAGCATAGGCCAAAGGACCAAAGGAACAAAAAGTGCAAGGACCAGCTGCAGGAAAAGGTTTGGCATATTTGAAGAACATAAAGGACACCAGGGAACAGGCTGAGCAAGCAAGAAGGAAGAAAGGATGCTTGAGATGCTTGAGGAGAGCCTTGTGGACTACAGCAATACATTTGGATTTTGTTGCAAGGGCAATGAGAAATCAATGAAGGGTTTGAATTAGATGGCATAATCTGATCTGTGCATTAAAGAGGTAATTCCAGTGACTACAGGGAAGAGGAAGTATACAGGGAAAGAGTGAAGCTAGGAATTAGGGGAGAAATGAGAGAAGCCTGGACCCGAGTAGTAGTAGTAGATACGACTATTACATTGGAGACAGAAATGAAAAGACTTGCTGCTGACGCTCTGTTTGTCAACAGGGAGCGGAACAAACTCCTGGGATCCTCACTTTAGCGAGTGGATAGGGAGTGACACCATCTATTATGACACAGTCTGCCAGAAAAGCAAAGTATTCATGAGATATCTATGTGATTTATTCTATTACTAAACTAAGAAGAAGAAAAAAATGCTCCTGTAATTTAAAGTTCCCCGACCTAGGGTCCTCACTGGTAGCACAAAGGGTTAAAGCACACCACTAAGAAGCTATCCACAGCCACTGAAACACAAGTTCTGTCCCAGCCAGAGAACTGACCTACAGTGGTGTGGCTAACCTCTCCTGATCCGCCCTCTGCTCCCCTCAGTAGTGTATTTCACCAGCTCTGTTTGGTGAATCCTCTAACCCACATACCTCTGGCCTGTACCCCAGCTCTTGTATGCATAAATAAATAAATCTTTAAAAAAAAAAAAAGTTGCCTGACCTGAGGAAAATTCTTGGGAGTGAAAAGGAAGCAACATGAATCAGACAGGGTGCCTTAGTAAAACAGGAGTTCTACTTATATCTTATGGCTATCTCTCACTGCAGACCTTGGACCTGTGGGAGGGAAGACACAGGAGGAGGACTTAAGTTTGGTGCTATGGAAGGGCTGTCTCCTGGTCAGAGCTGTGGGAAGTAGAATGAACTGCCTCAGGCTGATAATGACTTCCCTTTCATTGGAATTGTTAAAGAATAAAATAAATGTCCTTTCAGTGACTGGGTAAGGCAAATCCTTTTCAACCTAAAATCCTCCTAAACCACAGAAGGTTTCAGAATAAAACCTCTACTAATCTGACCTGTAGAATTGGGGTTTTCCTAATAGGCAGAGTTTTCTTGCTATGACCTACCTTTTAGAAAGTAAATGAGAATAACATTAGTTTATTTCAGTCACTGTAAAGTGACTCCTCATTTACCTCTTAATTGTTATACAACATGCTGAAGGACTTTTGGTGTAGGTAAAAGGCACAAGCTAGAAATTAAATATCCCAAGTCTACAATTTATTAGCTCTTTGATTTTTGGCAAGTTATTTAAACATTAGAGTCTCAGTTGCTCTATGAAAAATGGGTAAAAGAAAAAAACCCTAATTCAGGACATTACTACAAGGGCCAAAGTCAATGTCTGACATATTATAGTAAGAATAATAATAATGATAGTTAACATTTACTGAGCCAGATTAATATACTATGTAGATGCTGTTGTACTCTGCAATTTTTTTCAACTAACTCTTTCAACGATGCAGAGGCTAGACACTTATTATTATCCCTATTTTAAAAACTGGTAAACAAATTTACAGAGTTAGTTAAGTAAGAGTTATATAACTAGTAATAGATGCTCAAAATAACTTCCTAAAGATTGAAAGAAAAAATATCGTTAGAAAATTTTGAAAAAAAAATGCAATCTGTGGTTTTAACAATTCAATTTGCTAGCTAGACAGTTAATAAATATTTATTAAAAATGCAAATGAATAATTGAAAGTATGACTCCAACAAACATCTATTGAGTTCTTACTAGGCACAGAACCAAGGAACAAGAGTTATAGCGAATTTACATCAATTTAATTGAGACTGCCACTAAACCACAAACTTTGAATTGCAGATGAACTGCCAACATAATGATCCAGGCCCATGAAAAAGTCCTAAGAAATGTTCTCAAACCAAAGGAGCTGGAATTACTGTTGTTTGTTCCTGGGGGAACTAAAACTGTTAGGTGCTCAGAATAGTAGGCAGAAGCCTAAGAGCACATGATGAGCAGAAGGCAATGAGACAGTCTCAAGAAAGGTGAATAAGACTTCCAAAGGAAGCAGACATCTAAGAGAACAAAGGCTAAGATCTAACAGGAAAAGGAGGGTAAGCTGACTTATAACCAGGCACTTGCTGATAATCTAGCAAGAAATCAAAGGGCACTGCGTGAATAAATTCAGAGGAAGAGAAGGCAATCTAAAGTAGAAAGTGAGGAACAGGAGTCAAAACAAAAGGAGAAACTGCAGATGGAAGCTAGAGGAGTTGCAAGAAACAGGACTGGGCTCAAGGAGCAGGGACGTTACCCTTAGGGGAAAAGTCACCTCAGCTGAGACAGGGGTGAAACTGAAGTAGGGGCATACAGAAAGTTATTCCAAATAAAGCTGGATAAATACAGAGAGCACCAGTTATACAATACCATTTTGAGCTTGAAATGATACTGATTTTCTTGGACCACTCACAAATTAATATTGAAAGGACAACCATCATTTATATGTTTTACATAGTTAAAAATTAGATTTACTGAGATGTGTTTATATTCAGCTTCTTAATGTGGGCACTGGTTACATCAATGTGCTTAGTCTGTAAACTTGAATATATTATTCACTTAAAACAGCTTTTCTGTATGTACCCTATAGTTTAATGAAAGGTTTTATAAACCAAATATTAACTTAGATTCACTATTCCTATACTCTTAGTTCAGTTTTTTAGAAAGTAAATCAACCTCAGGGCCCTCTGTGGTGGCGCAACGGGTTAGGACGCGGCACTGCAAGCTGGCCACAGCCACCTCAGTGTGAGCTCAATCCCCGGCCAGGAAGGTGACCCACATGGGGCGGCAGACCTCTCCACGCCTGCTGCTCCCCTCAGCATTATACTTCGTCAGTCTGCCTGTTCTGCTTCCCCTTCTGTCTCTGGTGAATCCTCTTGCCACCCCTATACCCCAGACCTCTAGCCTCTACCACAGTTCTGTATGCATAAGTAAATAAATCCTTTTTAATAAAAAAAGTAAATCAACCTCAAAACTATACACTCCTTTAGGCAATACTGCTTAGCATTCTGAATTATCAATAATACT